CCCCGGGGACCGGTTCAGACTGTCCGGTGTCCGGCAATGTCCGGTGTCCGGTGACGTCCGGATCACCGGACAGTCTGGACCGGTCCAGACACTGGTCCGGAAGACAGTCCGGAAGTGTCCGGTGTCCGGGTCCGGGGTTACCATGCTAAACTTTTGACTTAATTAATTATTTATTAATTAATCTCTCCTGTTTTCTATCAACTAGTTATAGACGTGTCACGTCTCATCTTCTGTTGGAATCTTCCATAAGTTTTTCCCAGTAATTGAGACTCTTTTCAACCCCTTTTCAATTAAAAATCGGATTTCCAAACTCCGCATGCTTTTTCTTTGTTCCTCTCCTGTGTGTATTAATGATTCTTTCAAATTGTGTATGAGGGTTTCTCGGCTGGGGTGAGCTCTGCTCTACACGGGTTTCACAAGGAGGGTAGTGATGTTCGAGAGGGGGTATGAGCAGACTGTGGGGGATACTCTACTCTGGGGCTGGGGTAGATGTAAGGGCTACCTCAGCGGAGGCAGATTAGGGTATGGGGCCAGGCAAAGGCATACTTTGGGCGGGAACTGGATGTCTCTGGGTTATAGGGTGTGAGAATGGGACTGTTCCAAGTTGGGGCTGACGGGAAGGTCTTCTTCTTTTTTCGACACTCTTTCTCGGCAGAGGCAGCGAAGGGACAGGGTGGGAAGGAGGAGGAGGAGAGGGATTTTCTAATAACTAACTTTTTCAGTACAGTAACGGAGCATGTGCCTGCGAGACAGACGGCTGTCTTTAAAGAACCAAGACAGGCGCACCACATCCCTAATTAGGATACGTCCACCTCACCTGGCTTCGACACTCCCTGGGCGACATTTGGGTTCATCTATAATGATAACAGGATTTCACGGATAGCTGAATCCTGACTGGTGTCCGCTAGAGTAGTAGTGTTCTGAGCTTTTGGTTTGCCGATGCCAAAACGACGATGGCCGGTGCTGGGGTGTTTCTTTGCCCTGGACCTGTTTTGTCGCGGGAGAGTGAGGCCTGGTAGAGAGATCTGGGGATCTGTCGAGGGAGGAAGGCAATCCAGTGGCGAACTAGGAGGTACTGCCAAGGCGACCTTTGAGGCCGGGTATAGTTTTGGTAGTGAGAACACGACATCGATGGTGGGTATTGGGCAGATTGAGTTTGTCTTTGGAGTGCTGAGTGTGGTTTAGGGGAAGCTAGGAGTTGCTCATAGATTGTGAGGCTGGGAGTTGTGGATAATACATCATCTTTATCATCATCAGCAGGTTTGCCTTTGTAGGATAACAGGGGGGAATGTGAGACTGTCCCAAGTTGGGGCTGAGATGGGATGCCTGCACTCTGGGTAATCCATTTCGGTGGAGGCAGCGTTGGGATAGGGTGGGAAGGAGGGGAGGAGGGAGATTAATCTACAGAGCAGGTGCTTCAGAATTCCATAGTTTTCAATCATGTTATATCAAGCTTTTTGGTGTTCTGTAACTCTTGGCGGCATCTGGCCAACTCTTGCCGGCATCTGGCCTTCTTCCTCATTCGGGATATAGGATTTCAGAGATGATCGAATCTGGACTGATATCTGCAGAGTTGCTTTGTTCGGTGCCCCTGGTTTGTCAATGCCAGAACGACCCTGGTCGGAGCTGGGGCGTTGCCCTGTAACCTGCAAATGGCCAGAGTGTGAATCCTTGTAGAGAGATCTGGGGATTTGCTGAGGGAGGAAGGCACGGTCACTCCGGGTAGACTGTGAGGACCCCAGCCTCAATCTTTATTGGGAATATCAGCCTTGGGCATTGGGCCCGTTTAATTTGAAAAAAAAAAAAAAAAAAAAAGGTTTGTGGGACTGGTCGGACATGCTAATGAATTCAATATTAATCATATTGGAAATGTTAAGATCCACCTACTTGCTGTAGACCCTGCAGAATGGTCATGGACAACAGCAACAGGAAAGGGCAAGAAATTCACAAAAACGTTGTACAGCCTCACAGTTAAATCAACGTACAGACTCTTGCGGCCGAGAATCAACCTTCGGGATCGAGTGGAGGCGCGGTGGATGAACCATTTAAACATCGATAGGAACAAGCTAATCGTTCAGGATGATTAAGGCCAAACCCGCAAAAATTGCCTCGCTACAATGGCAGATCGAACATCGCTGTCTGCCGACAAACGAGTGGCTAATAGATAGAACAAATTTAGAACAGAAAGGCCTTGCGCTCCCCTGGTGTAGGTTCTGCACCGATGCCTTCCCTTCCAGGAAAGCCCCAGAGACAATAGAACATATCTTTCTCCAATGTCCAGGAGCGGTGTGGCTATGGAGATGGTGGGACAAAATATGGAACCAACTAGGGACCCGTTCCCGATGGCCGTGGGACTGGAAAGCCCTCTTGTGTGAAGCACTCCCTAAGGACCAGGTAGATGAGTTCACAAACGATATGGTCAAGATTGGCCCCAGAGCTGTGCTCTGGGCTCTCTGGCAACGGCGCTGCACATACGAAATGGAAAGAGCACGGTTGGAAGGGCCAGAACTCATGGAGAGCATTCAACAACAGATCCAAACCGAAATAAGAGAACATTGGGAACAAGTTAGGAAGCAGCTCCAGATATTACAGTTACCGAAAGAGATCCAACAAAAAATCAGGGACTTCAGCCTGAGCTGGCTTGGGGGGGAACAAGGGGGGAGGATAGAGGAAGTGGAATGGAAAGGGGGCCGATGCGACCCTGGGGAGGGTCAGGGAGAGAGGGTTTTAGTGAGGGATCACCGGCTCCTTTTTCATGATTGGACCAAGATTGACTCAGTTATCCCCCTGAGGCCTAGCGACGACTTCCCCGACCCCTTCCCCCCCCCCTCCAACTGCTTGGTGGGTATGGATTGGTACGGGGTGGAGGTGTGAGAACTGGTCATTGTGTGTCAGAACAGCCCTCACTGCAAGGACTTCACTTGCCAAGTTTTTTCTCGTCCTCTCCCAAACTGCGAGAGATGTACTTAAGGGAGGGTAGGGTATACAGCAGGAGGCACATAGCTGCGTCCCAGCAGAAAGGGCAATAGCACAGGGAAAGTCTTTTCGCAGTTACCATTCAACAGGACAGCGAGGCACTTATGGGAGGGTAGGGGGAGGGAGGTACTAGGATTTAGCAGGGAGAATCTGGCGCCTGATCGTAGGTGAAGAGGTCCCCCCCCCCCCC